GGGAGCTCACCCTGCACACACAAATGTACCCTCTCCTCCTGAACGTGGCATTTGGGAATGAAAGGGAGATTTGCTGTGGTGGATCACATCGTAGTCCATCCCCTCCGCATCACTTTCTCTAGCTTTCCTTTGAGCCCGGTTCTCTTTTCAGATCCATCCACATTTCCATCATCCACACTGCAGCTTCCTCCGGTGCTCCCCAGGGTGGACTCACCCCCACCTCACACCCAAGGCTCAAACTGTCATTAAGCCTCCTCACAATCACAGGAGAACAAAAGGCCGGGCGGAGAAGAGGCTGGCTGGTGCCATATGCTCATCAAGTCTAACACTTGCAGCCAATTCCAAATATTTTTAAAGTTTACAATTTTTAATAGCCCAGTGTCTCCCGATTCTCCCCAATTGTGTTTCAAGCCTGAGTTTTAAACACAGATGCACAATCTCTCAACACCTCCCTTAAAAGTCTCATCTGCTAATAAGGTACTGAGGAGAGAAAATAGAAACCGCCCAACACAACAGTGAAATGGAATATTAAGTAGAGAGTTGTTCGTTCGTCTAGCTCCCAAATTCAACTCCACATAAACTCTTTCAAAAAAGAAATTCCCCAAAAAGTCCTTTTTAAAACAGCTTACAGTTACAGTAAGCCTGCGAACGAATTCATACTTCAGGTGAATGAAGGCCTCCAGGCCAGTGTGAAGACTTCATTTCCATGGGTTATGCTTACTGCTTCCATACTCTTTCAGTGTTAGCTACTTTTAATTTCTTTTTACACCAAAAGAAAGAATTTAAAGTGTAAAAGGTTGAACCATCACAGAGACCTTCATTTCCCATAATAGGATGTTGGGTTAGTGTTCCCCTTCTGTGTGAGACCTGCACGCATACCATTATCTTGGAAAACACATCTTTCCACTGTTTATAGAATTAAAGCCCAAATTCACATTTGTTTCTTTTCATCTGTGTCCTGTCTTACTGTTAGATTTTTACACATTGCTGAGGAAACTAGGACTTCTAGATTTGGTCTAAAGCATTTCATAGAAAAAAAAAATAAGTCCACTGACAAGAATAAATACAGAAATGTGACCTCTGGGAGCTCACTAAAGTAAGCTTTTGATCATTCAACAGAAAAGGAATATTGTTATTCAGGGCTTTTCAAACATAATTTTTTCTAAAACATTTAAGAACAAGCTTTTCAAGGGGCATTTGATACAATGTACTTCCTCAGCCATCAGGCAAGTTTCTAAACTATCAACTGTTTTATCCAGGTTTTCCTTACTTGCCACAACATTTTAAGTGTTAATAATATGACATATACAAGAAGCATGTATGAAAAATAAGAATGTGACTATGTCTTCCAGTGAGCTTCTAGCACTGTTGCTACAAAGGGAAACAAATCTCCACATGAAGGTGAACACATAAAATTGTAAATATGAGCCTGATCTTAGATTTTATTTTTACGTACTTTCCCATGTATACATAATAAATAATACTTTGAATTGTCATTCTTCTTTTCTATATACAGATAACTTAGCAAAAACATAATGTTGTGTCTGCTACTGATATTTAAGATTATTAAAATAGGTCTCTGAAAAGTTTTTAAAATATGAAACATAGTAAGTAGTTGTGATATGATTATAAAGCCTCTTACATTTACCAATTATCTTTATTTACAAATTTCATTTTATCAAAAATTAAGAAATTAGGGCTGGGAAGGTAGCTCAGTGGTACAGTGCTTTGCCTTGCATGCATGAGGCCCTGGGTTTGATTCTTCAGCACCACATAAGCAGAAAAAGCCAGAAGTGGTGGTATGGCTCAACTGGTAGAGTACCCATGACCAACCAAAAAAAAAAAATTAAGAAATCAATCTGCCTTAGAAATGTGTTCACATAGAATGTGTATATATACACTCTCAGGAGAGGTGAAATAAAAATTTGCTCTTGCATAAAAAAAAACTCAGTGAAGATAATTCATTCTTTCCACGTGGAAAGTCAATAGTTAATATAGAATGCAATTGATGATCTTTTTACTAGTCTAATACCGTCAACTGGTAGTTTAAAAATGACAGAATAAAACCCAAGCAAGATAACAAAAAAAATGAACAAATGAAATAAAGAGGGAGGGAGAGGGAGAAAGGGAAGGAGGAAGGAAGACAGGAAAGAAGAAAGGTGGGAAGAAAAGAAAGGAGAGAGTGGGAAGGAGGGAGGGAAGGAGGGAAGAAGGAAAGCCATTAAAGAATTAATTCTTGCCACACTCAGTGGGGCATACCTATAATCCTCGCTGCTCCAGAGGCTGAGATCTGAATATTACAGTTTGAGCTGGCCCAGGAAGTGAGCTTCTTATCCCCCATGAACTAGCAAAGTGCAGAAGTGGAGGTATTGCTCAGGTGTTAGAGCACCAGCCTTGAGCAAACCCCAAACAACAATATGAGTCCCTGAGTTCAAGCCCGGTACTGGAACACACACACACATGAACACACACATGCACACACACACACACGCACAAACACACACATAAACACACACATACACACACGAAAGAATTAATTTTTAAACTGACAAAGAAGAAACAGAATAGAAAGGAGAAGTAAAAAGAAGAAACGCCATCAAAAGAAACAAGACCTGAAAAAAGGCAGGGAGGGGATAGAGGAAACGTAGTCCTCCTCCTCATTTCCTCAACACCTCCTCCAGTGCGAAGCACAGACCTCAACTCTGACCTACAGAAAACGCCGTGGGGCCATCCCTGAGTTGTGCATGGCAGAGAACACCAAATGGTAGCAGACAGCATTCCGATACCCGACCAGGTGAGGTTGCACCTTGAATCTACATCATTATAAGCCCTATGTAATCTTGATTGAAAGGCAACCATCTAAAATCTCTAGTTTCCACTCTCCCTAAACTTCAAATCATAAGATAATTTTGTCGGTCTGTCTTTCCTGCAGAATATGGTGGGCTGTCACACTCAGTGACCCTAACTGTATGTAGATGCCCTCCCCTTCGATCTGATTGGGAGGAGCAGGCTCAGAGATCAGAATCTCCGTCCAGGCACTCTCCTCCAGCTCCCTCCAAACCCCGGTGCCCTCAGGCTGGAGGCAGTGCTGCCAGCGCTTCCCGGCCCAGGCGGCTAGCACCTCGGAAGGGGCACTCAAGAAATACTTTCTACGTTCTTAGGACAGCTAAAGCTACATGACAGCAATCTAGGTTAAAACAATTCATTCCGTTTTTAGAAGTTTTTTTCATGCTTGACATAATCATCAAAAATAATAATTCTAAAAGCCTTTTTTAAAAATGTGATTTTTCTAAGTTGATTCGACTCTCCTCTCCTTCTGTATTATCTATTTACTAGATTAGTATCTCTCAATAGAACACCAAAACTTAGTCAGTAAGACCTTATGTCTTTAACTCACTTCAAGTTTTATGATTTGGGTTTAATTTAAAAAAAATGTGTCCTGTGACTTAACAAATGTTAATTCAGTACAACCAACATTGTAATCTACTGTTCTAGAGCTTGTTTTTTCACAGGTGTATATATGTTCCAGAATCATGACACAATATTTGATCTTATAAAATGAACATTTCAGCCAGGTGCCACTGGCTCCCCCCTGTGATCCTAACTACTCAAGAGGCAGAGATCAAGAGGATCATGGCTTCCAAGCCAACTGGAGCAAAAGCTTCACAAGACCCCACCCCTCCCAACAGAGCTGAGGGTGGCAGGGGCACCTGTCCGGGCCCAGCTGGGTGGGGGCTCAGATGAAGAGACTCACAGTTCCAGATCTTCCCAGGACTCCATCTCAATAGAAAGAGCCGGGCGAGGAGGCACACACCAGTTCTCCAGGTAATGTGACAAGTGGAAACAGGAGGATGGTGGTTCACATAGGCCCAGGATGAAGGTGAGACCTTCATCTCAAAAATAAGCTGAGGAAATGTGCTGGGAGCATGGCTCAAGCAGTAAGCTCCTCCACGCCTCACTGAAGCCAAAGCTCTGAGTTCACACCCCGACTGCCAATAGTAGTAAGAACTACCTTACTATTATTACTAAATGAAGTGCAAATTTCCATTCAAATGTTGGCTACTTAGGTGAAAAGGTGTAATTACTACGGTGTTTAAGACTACACAGACAACAATAATACCAAAAGAATATAAACTGACATGTTCTTTTGTCTTTCAAAACATTTTGCTCTAAAACAAATGAAAAGAATACATTTTCCCTTAAGCTTTTAGCCTAAAAAAAATGTACGCAACTCTGTTTTCTGTATACAGTAATGCCTAATGGATGTTCTGCATGGTTTAGGAAGAACAACTGAGTATATAACTAAAAAAGGATAAAATCCCCAGGTATTCATGACCCTCAGTTTTAAATCATGAAACAGTTTGCATTGACCAAATCTATTTTAAGCCAATAAAGCAGAAAAATGTTAATGTTACATATGCAAATTTGTCTTCCTTTATTTTAAACCTCTGGACTCTTTTATATTCTTGAGACTTAAGAGATGCTGAAGGCTTCTGTGTATGTATAGCTATGTAAGCTTATGGCACTGGAAATTACAGGTGACAGATGGATTCATTTGATAGCAGCGATCATAAACTCATTGTGTCTTAACACAAATCAATGTGACAGAGACGATGATTAAATTCGTTTTGATCTTCATACCTCCGAAATGTGTTAGAGGATTGGTATATTCTTAAATATAAGAATACAGAGAAAACAGAATACTATTTTTTTTGCCTTGTCTGGTAACATGTGACTCTGAAAGAAGCTATGAAAACTATCAGAAATCGGCTCGCCCTAACTTTCATGGTGCGGCTTCCTCAGTGAGTGGACAGTGCCTTCACTCACAACGTGAAGATTCTCTTCACAAGCACTGTTCCACCAGTGTGTTCTCTTCCCCTCATGGCTGATCAGGAAAAGTAATTACAGCTGTTCACCAGCAAAACCAGCAGCAGCAGTTAGCAGTAATAACAATCATGATAGTCCAACTTAAAAGTTTTTTGTAATTATGTGTTCCCAACCTGGTCTCCAAAGTCCTCTGGAAATTTCCACAATACCACAGGATCTGCAAATAATGGACACATCGTTAAAAAGAGACAGAGAAAGACACCGAAAGCCACAGCGTACTAAAATACTCTCAAGTGTCAAGATGCTTTCCTCATAATGTCTAATTTTTCCATTAAACACAGAAACATAGTTGACCAGGCTCACTTGTTTCCATTATATAAAATTAAATACTTTGATCTTTTAATGGCTTTCGTGATGTATGAAATCAGGTCAAATGGAACTAATAACTTGGTCGTGTTCTTAAAAAGCGTTCTTACTCACTTTTTTAAGATTACCAAAGCTGAAGAAAGAAGGTCATTGTGAGCGTGTTTTTTGGTGGTGGCGGAGGTGGTGTCTGTGGCGCTCGGGTTTGAACTTAGGGCACTTGCTTGGGTAATAACTGAGCCAATCTGCCAGCCGGAAGTCACTTCTCCATTCTGACTTTGAACTTTGAACCTTGAATTTTCTATTTATACTATACTCACAAAAAAGGATTGGGTTTAACTTTAAATAAAAATGTAAGTATGGTAAATACTTAATCAAATACAGTGCTCAGGAAATATACCAAAACATCCCCTCAAACTTCCATTTAAAATCCCAGTTACAAATTTATAAAACCAAGACAAGCACTGGTGGTGGCTCACAGCTGTCATCCTAGCCACTCAGGAGGCTGAGATCTGAGGATCATGGTTCAAAGCCAGCTCGAGCAGACAAAGCCAAGAGACTCTTATGTTGCATTGATAAACAAAAAGCTGGAAGTGGAGCTGTGGCTCAAGTGGTAGAGCTCCAGCATTGAGTGAAAAAAGACAAGAGCTGTGAAGACCTGAGTTCAAGCCCCAGAACCAACACACCACAAAAATAATAATATTTTATAAAAGTAAAAGGGAGGTAGAGGTAGGAGAACAACAGTTCAAGCCTAGCCCAAAACATTAAACTTTAAAAAAGAAAGAGGCATGGGTCCAGTGTATGAACGTTCACCTAGCAAGGCAGAGACCCGAGTTCAAAGCCCAGAATCACAGAGAAAATAAAAGAATCTATAAATATGATAACAATGTTTGCTATTTGCAAGGCATTTCTGAAGCTAAAACATTATTTTACAAATACACAAGCTTTTATTTTCATTATCTCTGACAATGCTTTCCTTTTACTTAGTATAATTCATTGAAGGACTTAGTTCTAAGTAGAAGTAGTAAAATATTTTAGTAATATGATTCTTTTTTTATTAAAATAATCTGAATATACCAAATGCATTTTAAAAGGATAACATAGTTGATTATTTAGTGTTTAAAAAAAAAAAAGAGCTGAGTGCTAGTGACTCACGCCTGTCATCCTAGCTACTCAGGAGGCTGAGATCTGAGGATCATGGTTCAAAGCCAGCCTGGTAGGAGAGTCCGTGAAACTCTTATCTCTAATAAACCACCAGAAAACTGGAAGTGGTGCTGTGGCTCAAGTGGTAGAGCACTAGCCTTGAACTGAAGAGTTGAGGGACAGTGCCCAGGCCCAGAGTTCAAGCCCCATGATGGACAAAAAAAATAAAAAACACACTCATGCCTATAATCCTAGATACTTAAGAAACTGAGATCTAATGATCCGGTGGTTCAAAGCCAGCCTGGGCAAGAAAGTCCATGAGACTCTTATCTCCAATTAACCACCAGAAAACCAGAAGTAGAGCTGTGGCTTTCAGTGGTAGAGTACTAGTAGGCTTGAGTGCAAAAGCTCAAGGACATCACCCAGGCCCCAAGGTCAAGCTCCAAGACCAACAACAACAAAAAGAACAAACTTTGGAAAGCCTACAATAAAACTGATATGAGTAACACAGTCTGTCTGGCCCTCCCCAGGTATAAAAGGACATGGAGTATCAGAGACACCATGCTCTGAACCTATTTACTAGAAAATCACCCCCAGAACATCAGACTGAGATCTGAGGCTCAAGGTTCAAAGTCAGCCAGGGCAGGAAAAGTCCACGGGACTCTTATCTCCAATTAACTAAAACTGGAAGTGAAGCTAGGACTTCAGTGGTGGAGAGCTAGCCTGAAGTGAAAAAGTTCAAGGACAGTCCCAGGCCCTGGGCTCAAGCCTCCAGCCCAGTACAAAACCAAAACATTACATACAATGTGAATAAATCATTTAAAACATGTCATATTCAGTTAATCAATTATAAAAGTAATACCAAATGATTGTATCTTCAGGTAAATTATATAAATGTGAATTCCACTACAGATCACTCAAAAATACTCAAACATGTCATATGGATAATTATGCTTCTGTGTGTTTATGTGACAGTTTTACCAAAGAAAGAGCTGACAAGATGTGAATGCCTTCTTTTTTGGGGGGGATGGGGGGGTCCAGTTGTGGGGCCTGAACTCTGGGCCTGGGCGCTGTCCCTCAGCGCTTCAGCTCAAGGCCTCTACCACTTGAGCCACGGCGCCACTTCCAGCTTTTTTCTTTTTCTTTTTGTTTATGTGGTGCTGAGGAATCAAACCCAGGGCCTCATGCATGTAAGGTAAGCGCTCTACCACTGAGCCACCTTCCCAGCCCCGTGAATGCCTTGATATAATCTCAATGTACTATTTTTTAAAAGTTGTTCTGTTAATAAATTGATAGAAAAGCATATGGCCATAAAGGAAAATCACCATGGAAAAACATGATCTTTTCTTATACTTGACAGAATTAATGAGTTTCGATGGAAATTTAAAATATCCTTTTAGTCAACCACAACGAACAGTCAAGTTACCACTGGAGAAAATGGGCCTGCAAGTTCCTTACAGCCCTCGGCTGGCCCTCAGATCTCCCTGACTGCCTACAGCGCTGAGCTGAGGAGGGGCTGGCATCCCATTTCACCCTTCCTCCACCCCACCATTCCTTTATCCTAGACACTCTCCTTTCAGGGCAGTGAGCAAGGGTCTATGGAGACACCTGCCTTGGTTTAATCCTCTGCTGTAAAATACCCAATCTCTTCAGTAAATGAACCCTGTTCCTCAGCAGCACTGGGGAACCTATTAGAATCCTGAGCATCCGTAGTTTTGAATGGATTAACTTAGTTTCAGCTTAGCGGTGACAGGCCACATCTGGTGGTGACAGGCCACATCTGGACACATCTTTGTAGCAACTTTTCACAAGTACAGCAAAGAAGAAAACAAGAGGGGCCTGAAGAGAAGAATCCAACTTTATAACTTTACATGAACTCCAGATTTTCTGCTCCCTGAGGATTACTCTGGATATTCAATCAGACTTGGCAAAGTTAGGCCAATTTTCTGCTAATTTTCTGGGTGAGAGGTTGAGAACTGCTGAGAAAGCTTCCAATGTCAGGCAGCAACTCAATGCAGTCCACGTCTTTATTAAGAAATGTTAGCTGGAAAGAAACACATGAGGAAATGCTTATTATCCCTGGCCATAAAGGAAATGTAACTCAAAACACCACTGAGATTCCATCTCACCCCAGTTAGATTGAGCAAGGACCATGAACTTGAACAACAAATATTAGTGAGGACGTGGAGGAAAAGGAGCCCTACTGCACTGCTGGTGGAAATGTAAACTAGGACCACCACTCTGGACAGCAGGCTGGAGGTTCCTCAAAAAAACTAAACACAGGCCTTCCCTACAACCCAGCCATACCACTCCTGGGCATCTACCCAGAACCTCACAAGCCAGAATACTATTAAAGATGCTTGCACACCCGTGTTCACTGCCTCACTATTCACAATAATCAAACTATGGCAAGAGCCCAGCTGTCCTACAATGAATGAGTGGATCCAAAAAATATGGCACAATGGGATTTTACACAGCCACCAGAAAGAATAGGATTATATCATCTGCAGGGAAATGGATAGATCTAGCACAAATCATGTTAAGTGAGGTAAGCCAAGCTCAAAAAGCTCGCTCATATGTAGAAACTAGATCTAAAATACCCCAGGACATGATAAATTACACAAGACTCTAGGCATTCACACACAGAAAGACCAAAAGAGGATATTCTTAGGAAAGGAACACAAAGGTCTCTGTGCCTCTGATCATATAAAATAATATTTATTGAAATGAACTTCAGGAAATGGATACAAGAGGTTTTATCTTTATTGTTTTTGTCTTCTTTGGGAGGGTTGGGGGGGACACAGAAATGGAAGAACAAAGGGTGAACAAAAGCAGCAAGGGTATTCATTATGTTGAAAATGAATTATACAACTAATGGATGAAGACAAGAGGAAAAAACTGAGAGAGAGCAAGGGAAGGGGTGATACTGTCCAAAAAGAAATGTACTCTTTACCTGACTTATATAACTGTAATCCCTTTATACATCACCTTTAGAACAACAATAAAAATTTAAGAAAAAAAATGCCAGCCAGGTGCTGGTGACTTACGCCTGTAATCCTAGTTCTCAGGGAGCTGAGATCAGAGGATCGCAGCTTGAAGCCAGCCAGGCAGAAAAGTCCCTGAGACTCTTATCGCCAATTAACCCCCAAAAAGCTGGAAGTGGCACTGTGGTTCAAAACAGATCAGGGACAGTGCCCAGGCCCTGAGCTCAAGTGCCAGGACAGACAGTTAAAAGAAAAGAAAATTAAAAAAGAAATGCTGCTGACCATTTAGGAAACAACCAAGCAAGCTGAGTATGACACACATCAGTTCACCTCTTTTTTTTCTACAAAATTTATTCTTTTTTGCATATAACCACAGTAAATACTTGTCATGACTTTTTTAAATTTTTTGTCGTTAAGTAGTTGTACAAAGAAGTTCACATTCTACAAAACAATATATGAAAACAGAGTGCCTGATAACATCGTTACCCATCGCGCCTGACCCACCCCTTTTTTCAAAAAATTATGATTAGGAGATAACACACAGCAATAAGCAAGTTCACTAATTTTTATTAAATCAATTTTGAAGTGTTTAAAGTATTATTTGTACTTCTGTCACAGGACTCCTAAGTACATGATTAAGGCTTTTCTTTTTCAGTAAAGTAAGATTAACTCAGTAATATCTTCTTTCTCAGTTCACATTTTCTAACCCTTACGAAAAATTAACAAT